GTTTCCCTCGCAGAAATGGAGCCGGGAAGATCCCGGGTTTGGGAGGTTTTTCCCTGTGGAATGAGCTCGTGCCTCAGTTTCCCTCCTGGAAAAAGGGGATCGGTGCGGGGCTCGCGGAATTTGGGGGATTTTCCCGACGGAATCCGCCCCTTTTCCCCACAAGAGTCGGGATGGAACCCCCGAGAATTCCGGGAATGTTTTATGGAATGGTTCCGTGCCTCAGTTTCCCCCGTGAAAGGTACAACCACCCCTCCGGCAAAGGGAAATCTTGGGAATGTTCCCCTCGGGAATGCTCCCCGTGCCTCAGTTTCCCCTCAGAACGGCGGTACAAACCAGGAGCTTTTTGGGAATTTTTTTTTTTTTTTAATGGAAGCACTCCGTGCCTCAGTTTCCCCCGTCTCCCTCCGAGAGGTACAAAAACCCCGGCGGGAATTTGGGGAATTTATCCCTGTAACCACTCCGTGCCCCAGTTTCCCCCGGGACAGGTACGACGCTTTTCCGCATTTTTCTGAGGGGGAAAATTTTTGTTTTATTTTATTTTATTTTTGGCGATTTCGGAGAACTTTCTCCTCACGCCTCGCTCCGCTTCGCGCCTCACACAATAAACGTGCGCTGATTGGCTGGGTGAGCTGTCAATCATTTCCGACGAGCGTTTGATTGGTTCGCCGAGCCGCGAGGCCAGGGCGGGATCAATCGGCGTCGAAATCCGATTGGTCGGGGGGCAAGGCGGGAAACCGGGGAGTTACCCAGCGCACGCGCGAGGCGGGAAATCCCGGCCCACTCCTCGCGCATGCGCGCTGCGCCCTTCTTCTCCGCCTCAGCCCCCCCCAAGATGGCGCCGCCCACGGCCGCCGCCGCCGCCTCCCTCTCCCTCCTCCTCCTCCTCTTCCTCCGCCGCCGCCGCCGCCGCCGCCGCCGCCGCCTGGCTCTGCTGCACCGCCTCCGCCTCCTGCTGCAGCGCCGCCGCCGCCTCTCCGCGCTGCGCCTCGCCCTCCTCCCCCCCCGCTCCTCCTCCTCCTCCTCCCCTCAGGCCGCTCCGCGCCGCCGCCGCGGGCGCGTCTGGAGCCGCAGCCGCAGCTCGGCCTTCTGGTCCACGGTACGGGAGAAGTCTCTGGGCGGGCGGGAGTGGAGCGAACGCTTCCGCCTGCTGCCGGCCACCTTCGACGCGCTGGTGTCGCGGCTGGGCGCGGCCATCGGCCGCAGGGACACGGCCATGAGGCGAGCGGTGCCCGCCGAGGTGCGCCTGGCGCTCACCCTCAGCCGCCTGGGCTCCCGCACCGAGTACCGGGCGCTGGAGGCCACCTTCGGCGTGTCCCGCAGCTCCGTCTGCAAAATCCTGCGGGATGTTTGCGGGGCCGTGGTGGCGATCCTGGGCCCGGGAGAGGAGGAGGAGGAGGAGGAGGAGGAGGAAGGGGAGGAACGGCGGAGGCTGCACCTGCCCAGGGACCCCCGGAGCTTCCCGGGGATTTGGGGGCACGGCCCGGGGGGAGAGGGGAGAGCGAACCGGGACACAGGAGGAGGAGGAGTGGAGGAGAAATTCCCGAATCCGGCGGATTCCGACCCGAAATTCCCGGATCCAGAGAGTTCCAGCACAAGATTCCCAAATCCAGCGGATTCCGGCTCGAAATTCCCGAATCCAGAGGGTTCCGGAGCGAAATTCCCGAATCCGGAGGGTCCCAGCTCCAAATTCCCGGATCCAGAAGGTTCCGGAGGGAAATTCCCAAATCCAGCGGATCCCAGCTCCAGATTCCCAAATCCAGCGGATCCCGGCTCCAGATTCCCAAATCCCGAGGGTTCCGGCTCAAAATCCCCAATCCCAGCGGATCCCGGCTCCAAATTCCCGATCCCGGAGGATTCTGCAGTGAAATTCCCAAATCCGGCGGATTCGGGCTCAAAATTCCCGATCCCGGCGGATCCCGGCTTGAAATTCCCAAATCCGGCGGATTCCGGCCCAAAATTCCCAAATCCGGCGGATCCCGGCTCCAGATTCCCAAATCCGGCGGATCCCGGCTTGAAATTCCCAAATCCGGCGGATTCCGGCCCAAAATTTCCGGTCCCGGCGGATCCCGGCCCGAAATTCCCAAATCCGGCGGATCCCGGCTTGAAATTCCCAAATCCAGCGGATTCCGGCCCGAAATTCCCAAATCCAGCGGATCCCGGCCCAAAATTCCCAAATCCGGCGGATCCCGGCCCCAGTTTCGGGCTCCGATCCCAAATCCGGAGAAGGAAAATCCCGAGAGCGGCGAATTCCGGCCGGGAAACGCCGGGAAGCTCCGGGGGCGCCCAAATCCCGGCGGAAAACTCGGGAATTCCACCCAAAAAACGCAGGAGCTCCGAAACCCCGCGGGAAAACTCCCGGATTCCACCGGAAAACTCCCAAATTTCGGCAGGAAACTCTCAGTTCTCCTCAGGAAACTCCCAATTTTTGCCAGGAAACTCCCAAATTCCACTGGAAGACTCCGAAATTCCAAAGGAAAACCCCCAATTTTCATGGGAAAACTCCCAAAATCCACCCAAAAACCCTCAAATTCCACCCGAAAACTCTCAATTTTTACCCGAAAACTCCCAATTTTCACGGGAAAACCCCCAAAATCCACCCGAAAACTCCCAGTTTTTACCGGAAAACCCCCGAACTCCGCCGAAAAACTCCCAGCTTTCGACGGAAAGCTCCCAAAATCCGTCAGAAAACTCCCAAATTCCGTCAGGAAGCTCCCAATTTTCACCCGAAAACTCCCAATTTCCACCCGAAAACTCCCGATTTTCACCCGAAAACCCCCAAATTCCCCCCGAACCCCCCCAATCTCCCCCTCCCCGCCCCCACCTGCCCCCAGAATTCCCGGAATTCCTGGAATTCCCGGGATTCTCGGGATTCCCGGGCCCGTGGCCGCTGCCCAGCCTGGCGGGGGTCCTGGCGCGGCTGCGGATCCCGATCCGCGCCCCCCCCAACCGCGGCTATCGCGACAGCAACCGCGGCTATCGCGGCAGCAACCGCGGCTATCGCGGCAACAACCGCGGCTATCGCGACGACAACCGCGGCTATCGCGACAGCAACCGCGGCTATCGCGACGACAACCGCGGCTATCGCGACAGCAACCGCGGCTATCGCGACGACAACCGCGGCTATCGCGGCAACGACCGCGGCTATCGCGACGACAACCGCGGCTATCGCGACGACAACCGCGGCTATCGCGGCGACAACCGCGGCTATCGCGACAACAACCGCGGCTATCGCGACAACAACCGCGGCTATCGCGACAGTCGCGACAGGGCGGGGCACGCGCTGACGCTGCAGGCCACGGTGGACGCGCGCGGCTGCCTCTGGAATGTGGAATTCCAGCGGCCGGGAACCGGGATCCGCCACTCGGCGCTGTTCCGCTGGCTCCAGCGGCGGCGGGAGAGCAGCGGGAAAAACAGCGGGAAAAACAGCGGGAATTGTCCCGGGAACAACGGGAACGGGAACAGCGGGAATGGGAACAACGGGAATGGAAACAGTGGGAATGGGAACAGCGGGAATTGTCCCGGGAACAACGGGAATGGGAACAGCGGGAATGGGAACAGCGGGAATGGGAACGGGAATTGTCCCGGGAATTGTCCCGGGGGGAACAGCGGGAATTGTCCTGGGAACAACTGGAATAATGGGAATTGTCCCGGGAATAATTCCGGGAATTGTCCCGGGGGTAACAGCGGGAATTCTGGCAATTGTCCCGGGAATTCAGGGGGGAACACCGGGAATTGTCCCAGGAGTTGTCCCGGGAATTCCGATGGGAATCCGGGGAATGTCCATGAAAACTCGGGGAATTCCGATGGGAATCCGGGGAATCCCGGTGAGAACCCGGTGAATCCCGCTGTAACTCCCGGTGTAAACCCGGTGAATCCCGCTGTAACTCCCGGTGTAAACCCGGTGAGTCCCGCTGTAACTCCCGGTGTAAACCCGGTGAGTCCCGCTGTAACTCCCGGTGTAAACCCGGTGAGTCCCGCTGTAACTCCCGGTGTAAACCCGGTGAGTCCCGCTGTAACTCCCGGTGTAAACCCGGTGAGTCCCGCTGTAACTCCCGGTGTAAACCCGGTGAGTCCCGCTGTAACTCCCGGTGTAAACCCGGTGAGTCCCGCTGTAACTCCCGGTGTAAACCCGGTGAGTCCCGCTGTAACTCCCGGTGTAAACCCGGTGAGTCCCGCTGTAACTCCCGGTGTAAACCCGGTGAATCCCGCTGTAACTCCCGGTGAGAACCCGGTGAATCCCGCTGTAACTCCCGGTGTAAACCCGGTGATTCCCGCTGTAACTCCCGGTGTAAACCCGGTGAGTCCCGCTGTAACTCCCGGTGTAAACCCGGTGATTCCCGCTGTAACTCCCGGTGAGAACCCGGTGATTCCCGGTGCCAATCCCGCGGTGATTCCCGCGGTGATTCCCGGTTCCAGCCCCGTTTTCCCGGCCATCCCGCCGTACTTCCTGGGCTCCCGGCGGGACCCGCTGCTGCCCTGGCTGCTGCGGCCGTTCCGGAACGGGGAGGGGCTCGGGGGGGCCGTGGGGGAGGCCCGGTCTGACCGGGAGGAGGGCCGGTTTAACCGGGAGGAGGGCTCGGTCCGGTCTGCCCGGGGCTCGGAGGGCTCGGGCCGGGCTGCCCGGGGCTCGGGGGGGTCG